CGTAATAAAACTAAGACCCTGGTATAAAACTAAGACCTCCCACGTTATAAGACTAAGACCCTGTTATAAAACTAAGACCCCCCATGTAATAAAACTAAGACCCTGTTATAAAACTAAGACCCCCACGTTATAAAACTAAGACCCTGTTATAAAACTAAGACCGCCCACGTAATAAAACTAAGACCCCCCCACGTTATAAAACTAAGACCCTGTTATAAAACTAAGACCCCCCACGTTATAAAACTAAGACCCTGTTATAAAGCTAAGACCCCCCACGTTATAAAACTAAGACCCTGTTATAAAACTAAGACCCCCCACGTAATAAAACTAAGACCCTGTTATAAAACTAAGACCCCCCACGTTATAAAACTAAGACCCTGTTATAAAACTAAGACCCCCACGTTATAAAACTAAGACCCTGTTATAAAACTAAGACCCCCACGTTATAAAACTAAGACCCTGTTATAAAACTAACACCGCCCACGTAATAAAACTAAGACCCCCCCACGTTATAAAACTAAGACCCTGTTATAAAACTAAGACCCCCCACGTTATAAAACTAAGACCCTGTTATAAAGCTAAGACCCCCCACGTTATAAAACTAAGACCCTGTTATAAAACTAAGACCCCCACGTTATAAAACTAAGACACTGTTACAAAACTAAGACCCCCACGTAATAAAACTAAGACCCTGTTATAAAACTAAGACCCCCCAGAATATTTTGAATTTTTCAGAAAATGTGTCCAACATATTGCTCTAAATGATAGGAGCTTTGAAATTTTGATTAAAACATTAATTAATATATTGGGCACATTTTCTGAAAAAATCAAAATATTATGTTCAGTGACCTTACCGATACCCTTACTTTTAACTTTTTTCAGTCACATTTTCAGAGGGCTGAAAAACCATTTCAGCATGGTTAGGGTCATTTTGACATGTCCAGTGTGATCCTGGTCATGTAAATGATAAATGGGAGTAGTAAAAATGACTGAAGATCAAAGCAGAACTCTGCTATCTTAGTTCAAAAAATCTAAAATCACATGGTTTTTTCATTTCCTGTTTGGTGTAAATTTCGAATAACTTCTCCAAGACCTTAAGCTTATCTTTATATCTATATCTATAAGACTATCTTTTGTATAATCTGTATGTTACTGGGGAACACATGTGCCAGAGGCAAGACTACCTCGCGAGCAGAGCAAGCCACGATGATTGATTCTTAGTTTTATAACAGGGTCTTAGTTTTATAACAGGGTCTTAGTTTTACAACGTGGGGGGTCTTAGTTTTATAACAGGGTCTTAGTTTTATAACGTGGGGGGTCTTAGTTTTATAACAGGGTCTTAGTTTTATAACGTGGGGGGTCTTAGTTTTATAACAGGGTCTTAGTTTTATTACGTGGAGGGTCTTAGTTTTATAACAGGGTCTTAGTTTTATTACGTGGGGGGTCTTAGTTTTATAACAGGGTCTTAGTTTTATAACGTGGGGGGTCTTAGTTTTATAACAGGGTCTTAGTTTTATTACGTGGGGGGTCTTAGTTTTATAACAGGGTCTTAGTTTTATAACGTGGGGGGTCTTAGTTTTATAACAGGGTCTTAGTTTTATTACATGGGGGGTCTTAGTTTTATAACAGGGTCTTAGTTTTATAACGTGGGGGTCTTAGTTTTATAACAGGGTCTTAGTTTTATTACGTGGGGGTCTTAGTTTTGTAGGTCTTAGGTCTTAGGTCTTAGTTTTGTAGACACCCTCCGGATTCCTGAGGAAATTCTACCCCTAATTCATAACTCATACTTTAAAATTGGAGAACTTTTTATTTTGACCTACATTTCGGACACCATATCTCAAAAGTGGGTCAAAAAACTTATTGACGACAAAATGTTAACATTATTAGCACACTCTTTGCTACAAGTATACAAAATTTCGGAGAATATCATTGAAGTGTAGTGTCAGAATCGCAAAATAAAAAAAAACTATGAATTTGACCTAGATTTTGAACTAGGTATTTTGGTGTCCAAACTTTGAAGGAAAGTAGCTTTTGAGGTCCCCTTCTTCTATGGGCTTTCATTATGTTTAGCTGTACTCATTCTATATCTCGTATTTTTACAATTCAAAACATTATTCGGTCCAATTGATTTAACATGGGGCACCAAATTTAGCGATTTTTGAGATCTCAAAACGCCATAACTTAAGAACAAGTAGTCGGATCGAAATTTGGTTTGCAGATCTAGATTTCTGAGAAGATTCTCCCCTTAATTCATAACTCATACGTTAAATTTGGAAAACTTTTTACTTTGGCCTACTTTTCGGACACCATATCTCAAAAGTGGGTCAAAATACTCTCTGACGGCAAAACGCTAACACTATTAGCATACTCTTTGCTACCTGTATACAAAATTTTAAAGCAAATCATTTAAATATAGTGTCAGAATCGCAAAAATAAGGGAAAACTATAAATTTGACCTAGATTTTGACCTAGGCATTTTGGTGTCCAAATTTTGGAGCTAAGTAGCCTTCAAGGTCCCCTTCTTTAATAGGCTTTCATTATATTAAGCTGTAATCAGTCTATATCTCGTATTTTACACTTCAAAAAATCTTTTTTCCCATTGACATAACATGGGGCAGCAAATTTAGTGATTTTAGAGCTTTCAAAACGCCATAACTTCCGAACAGGAGGTCGAATCAAAATTTGATTTGCAGATTCGGATTTCTGATAAAATTCTACCCCTTATTCATACCTCATACGTTAATTTTGAAGATTTTTTTTATTTTGACCTACTTTTGGGACACCATATCTCAAAAGTGGGTCAAAATACTTTTTGACGGCAAAAGGCTTACACTATAAGCACACTCTTTGCTACATGTATACACAATTTCTAAGCATATAATTAAAGTGTAGTGTCAGAATCGCAAAAATAAGAAAAAACTTTGAATTTGACCTAGATTTTGACCTAGGCATTTTGGTGTCCAAATTTTGAAGCTAGATGGCTTATGAGGTCCCCTTCTTTTAAAAGGCTTTCATTATATTTAGCTGAACTCAGTCTATATTTCGTATTTTTCACTTCAAAAAAATCTTTTTTCCCATTGACTTAACATGGGCACCAAATTTAGCGATTTTTGAGCTTTCAAAACGCCATAATTTCCGAACGGGAAGTCGGATCAGAATTTGGTTTGCAGATTCGGATTCCTAATAAAATTCTACCCCTTATTTATAACTCAACGTTAAATTCGAAGATTTTTTTATTTTGACCTACTTTTGGGACACCATATCTCAAAAGTGGGTCAAAATACTTTTTGACGGCAAAAGGCTAACACTATAAGCATACTCCTGGCTACATGTATACACAATTTCGAAGAATATAATTAAAGTGTAGTGTCAGAATCGCAAAAATAAGGAAAAACTTTGAATTTGTCCTAGATTTTGACCTAGGCATTTGTGTGTCCAAATTTTTAAGCTAGATGGCTTTTGAGGTCCCCTTCTTTTAAAAGCTTCCATTATATTTAGCTGAACTCAGTCTATATTTCGTATTTTTCACTTTAAAAAAATCTTTTTTCCCATTGACTTAACATGGGCACCAAATTTAGCGATTTTTGAGTTTTCAAAACGCCATAACTTCCAAACCAAAAGTCGGATTGAAATTTGGTTTGCAGATTCGGATTCCTGGGATAATTCTACCCTTAATTCATAACTCATACGTTGAATTTGTAGAACTTTTTATTTTGACCTACTTTTCGGACACGCCATAACTTCCGAACCGGAAGTCTGATCGAAATTTGGTTTGCAGATCCGGATTCCTGACAAAATCCTACCCCTAATTCATAACTCATACGTTAAATTTGAAGAACTTTATATTTTGACCTACTTTTGGGACAACATATCTCAAAAGTGGGTCAAAATACTTTCTGACGGCAAAAAGCTAACACTATTAGCATACTCTTGGCTACAGGTATACACAATTTCGAAGAATATAATTAAAGTGTAGTGTCAGAATCGCAAAAATAAGGAAAAACTTTAAATTTGACCTAGATTTTGACCTAGGCATTTGTGTGTCAAAATTTTTAAGCTAGATGGCTTTTGAGGTCCCTTTCTTTTATGGGCTTCCATTATGTTTAGCTGTACTTAGTCTATATCTCATATTTTACACTTCAAAAAAATCTTTTTTTCCATTGAATTACCATGGGACACCAAATTTAGCGATTTTTGAGCTTTCAAAACGATATAACTTCCGAACCGGAAGTCGGATCGAAATTTGGTTTTCAGATTCGAAATCCTGAGAAAATTTCCTACAAGACCAGTAGCCTGGACATTTAATTGGGAGAACCTTTTTTTGGACCTCGTTTTGGGACACTGATATCTCGAAATCGGTTTGAGATATCAAAAAACTAAATCGACCTGTTTTCCCCTACTTTTTTATGAGGAACACAATGAAAAAAACCCGGATTGAAAATATTGAAGGACGACCGAGAAAATTGAAAAAAGTGACAAAGTACTGGATTTGACCTAGTTCTTGACCTTTGACCTAGAAAAAAATTTGACCTAATTTCCCATCATCCCAGATACATTCCCTAGTTGATCATCTAAGCAGCTTAAAGTAAGCTCTTCTAGTTGGTGAGAAATCTGGGAAGGAGGAAGATTCTGAAAGAATAATAATAACTAGACTTGGGAAATTGAACGAAGTTCAATTTCAGACTCCAGATCCAGACTTTTTTTAAGCCCAGTCATCTAAAATAAGCCGAGTCATCCAGAATAAACTGAGTCATCCAGAATAAGATGGATGGATAAAACAGGAAGGTAGGATAGGATAGAATGGGAAGGAACGATAGGATAGAATAAGAAAGAAGGATAGGATAGAACAGAATAGGAAGAAAGGATATGATAGGAGAGGATAGGAAGGATAGGAAGGAAAGGATACGAAGGAAGGATAGGATAGGATAGGATCAGATAGGAAGGATGGATGAATGAATTTTTCAATATTTTCTTCTCTACTCTTGACTTTCTATCAGAATAAATACTTTCTGACGGCAAAAGGCTAACACTATTAGCACACTCTTTCCTACCTGTATACAAAATTTTGAAGCAAATCATTTCAATATAGTGTCAGAATCACAAAAATAAGGAAAAACTATGAATTTGACCTAGATTTTGACCTAGGGATTTTGGTGTCCAAATTTTGAAGTTAGGTAGCCTTTGAGGTCCCCTTCTTTCATTGGCTTTCATTATTTCAAGCTGTACTTAGTCTATATCTCGAATTTTACACTTCAAAAAAATCTTTTTTCCCATTGACATAACATGGGGCACCAAATTTAGCGATTTTTGAGCTTTCAAAATGTCATAACTTCCGAACAAGAAGTCGGATCGAAATTTGGTTTGCAGATTCGGATTCCTTATAAAATTTTACTCTTAAGTCATAACTCATACGTTAAATTTGGAAAACTTTTTATTTTGACCTACTTTTCGGACACCATATCTCAAAAGTGGGTCAAAATACTTTCTGACGGCAAAAGGCTAACACTATTAGCACACTCTTGGCTACAAGTATACAAAATTTCGAACAATATAATTAAAGTGTAGTGTCAGAATCGCAAAATAAGGAAAAACTTTGAATTTGACCTAGATTTTGACCTAGGCCCTGGACTGGATTTAGACCTAGACTTGACTTGGACCTGGACATGTACCTGGACTTGGATTGAATGAGAAGGAAGAATAGGATAGAATAGGAAGGAAGGATAGGAAGGAAGGATAGATAGGAAGGGAGAATCATCCAGAATAAGATCATCTAGATAGAAAGGATAGGATAGACCTAAATTTTGATCTAGGTCCTGGACTGGATTTGGACCTAGACTTGACTTGGACAAAACTGGACTTGGACCTGGACTTGGACCTGGACTTGAGCTTGACTTGGACCTGGAAATGGACTGGACTGGTATTTTTTTAATTTTATTTCACTTTTCTTGACATTCTATGAGGGTACCATCAGATCGATTTTCCTCGAACTTTCAAAACGTCATAACTCCTGAATCGGAAGTCGGATATCAATTCGGTTTTCAGATTCGGAATCCTGAGAAAATTTCCTATAAGACTATAATCCTGGACATCGGATTCGGAGAACTTTTTTTCGGACCTCGTTTTCGGACACTGATATCTCGAAATCGGTTCGAGATATCAAAAAACTAAATCGACCCTAGCTTTCCTACTTTTTTATGAGGAACACAATGAAAAAAACCCGGATCGAAAATACTGAAGGACGACTGAGAAAATTGAAAAAAGTGACAAAGTACTGGATTTGACCCAGTTCCTGACCTTTGACCTAGATAAAAATTTGACCTAATTTCCGAGAAACTAGATACTGGACCTAAATTAACCATATACAGGTCTTGACTCAATGTCTTCTAGTTAAGGAGAAAACGTTGGAAGAATAATAATAACTAGACATGTAAATTGAACAAGTTCAATTTAAGACTCCAGATTTAATTCTTTTTTTAAGCTGAGTCATCCAGAATACTTGTAAGCTGAGTCATCCAGAATAAGCTGATCGAGTCAGCTAGAATTTAGACATTTAGACAACTCTCCATTTTTTATCTTCGACTCCATTGGCTTAACATGGGGATATCATCATATCGACTTTTCGAGACTTCAAACCGCTATAACTATCTAACCAGAAGTTAGATTGTATTTTGGTTTAAAGATTCGGACTCCTGAGAAAATTCTACCCTTAATTCATAACTCATACATTAAATTTGGAGATTTTTTTATTTTGACCTACTTTTTGGACACCATATCTCAAAAGAGGGTCAAAATACTTTCTGACGGCAAAAGGCTATCACTATAAGCACACTCTTTGCTACCTGTATACAAAATTTCGAAGCAAATCATTAAAGTGTAATGTCAGAATCGCAAAAATAAGGAAAATTATGAATTTGCCCTAGATTTTGACCTTGGCATTTTGGTGTCCAAATTTTAAAGCTAGATAGCCTTCGAGGTCCCCTTCTTTTAAAGGCTTTCAGAATGTTAAGCTGTACTCAGTCTATATCTGGTATTTAAGACTTCAAAAAAATCTTTTTCCCTATTGACATAACACGGGGCACCAAATTTAGCAATTTTCGAGCTTTCAAAACGCTATAACTTTCAAACAGAAAGTCGGATCGAAATTTGGTTTGCAGATTCAGATTCCTCAGAAAATTCTATCCTTATTTCATAACTCATATGCTAAATTCGGAGAACTTTTATTTTGACCTACTTTTCGGACACCATATCTCAAAAGTGGGTCAAAATACTCTTTGACGGCAAAAGGCTAACACTATTAGCACACTCTTTGCTACCTGTATACAAAATTTTGAAGCAAATCCTAAAAGTGTAGTGCCAGAATCGCAAAAATAAGGAAAAACTATGAATTTGACCTAGATTTTGACCTAGGCATTTTGGTGTCCAAATATTGAAACTAGGTAGCTTTTGAGGTCCCCTTCTTTTATAGGAATTCATTATCTTAAGCTGTACTCAATCTATATCTCGTATTTTACACTTCAAAAAAATCTTTTTTCCTTGACTTTCTATCAGGATAACATCAGATCGATTTTTCTCGAAATTTCAAAACGCCATAACTTTCAAACCGGAAATCGGATCGAAATTTGATTTAAAGATTCGGATTCCTGACAAAATTCTACCCCTTATTCATAGCTCATACGTCAAATTTGGCGAATTTTTATTTTGACCTACTTTTCGGACACGCCATAACTTTGGAACCGGAAGTAGGATCGAAATTTGGTTTGCAGATTCAGATTCCTGAGAAAATTCTACCCTTGATTCATAACTCATATGTAAAATTTGGAGAATTTTTTATTTTGACCTACTTTTCGGACACCATATCTCAAAAGTGGGTCAAAATACTCTCTGACGGCAAAAAGCTAACACTATAAGCCCATTCTTTGCTACCTGTATACAAAATTTTGAAGCAAATCCTAAAAGTGTAGTGCCAGAATCGCAAAAATAAGGAAAAACTATGTATTTGACCTAGATTTTGACCTAGGGATTTTGGTGTCCAAATTTTAAGCTAGATAGCCTTCGAGGTCCCCTTCTTTTATAGACTTTCAGAATCTTAAGCTGTACTCAGTCTTTATCTGGTATTTTACACTTCAAAAAAATCTTTTTTCTCATTGACATAACATGGGGCACCAAAATTAGCGATTTTTGAGCTTTCAAAACGCCATAACTTCCCAACGAAAAGTCGGATTGAAATTTGGTTTGCAGATTCGGATTCCTGAGAAAATTCTACCCTTAATTCATAACTCATAAGTTAAATTATGAGAAATTTTTATTTTGACCTACTTTACGGACACCATATCTCAAAAGTGGGTCAAAATACTTTCTGACGGCAAAAGGCTCTCACTATTAGCACACTCTTTGCTACCTGTATACAAAATTTTGAAGCAAATCCTAAAAGTGTAGTGCCAGAATCGCAAAAATAAGGAAAAACTATGAATTTGACCTAGATTTTGACCTAGGCATTTTGGTGTCCAAATTTCGAAGCTATGTAGCTTTTGAGGTCCCCTTCTTTTATAGGCATTCAATATGTTAAGCTGAACTCAGTCTATATCTTGTATTTTACACTTCGAAAAAGCCTTTTTTCCCATTGACTTAACATGGGCACCAAATTTAGCGATTTTTGAGATTTCAAAACGCTATAACTTCCGAACCGGAAGTCGGATCAAAATTTTGTTTGCAGATTCGGATTTCTGAGATAATTCTACACTTATTTGATAATTCACACGTTGAATTTGGAGAATTTTTTATGTTCTGACCTACTTTTCGGACGCCATATCTCAAAATCGGTAAGAGTAATCAAAAAACGGTTTGCATTACAGAATTAGCTTTTTTTCTAAGGAACATGATGAAAAAAACCCGGAGCGAAAATACCAAAGGACGACTGAGAAAACTTGTGAAATAGCAAAAAGAGACGATTTGACCTAGTTCTTGACCTTTGACCTAGATAAACATTTGACCTAATTTCCCAGAAACTAGAACTCATTACCTAGTTGACTATGTTAGCAGATTTTAGGAAGTCCCTCTAGTTGCTGAGAAAACGCGCAAAGAAAGAATAACTAGACATGTAAATTGAACAAGTTCAATTTAAGACTCCAGATTTAATACTTTTTTTTAAGCTGAGTCATCCAGAATACTTGTAAGCTGAGTCATCCAGAATAAGCTGATCGAATCAGCTAGAATTTAGACATTTAGACAACTCTCAATTTTTTATCTTCGACTCCATTGGCTTAACATGGGGATATCATCATATCGACTTTTCGAGACTTCAAACCGCTATAACTATCTAACCAGAAGTTAGATTGAAATTTGGTTTAAAGATTCGGACTCCTGAGAAAATTCTACCCTTAATTCATAACTCATATGTAAAATTTGGAGAATTTTTTATTTTTACCTACTTTTCGGACACCATATCTCAAAAGTGGGTCAAAATACTCTCTGACGGCAAAAGGCTAACACTATTAGCCCACTCTTTGCTACCTGTATACAAAATTTTGAAGCAAATCCTAAAAGTGTAGTGCCAGAATCGCAAAAATAAGGAAAAACTATGTATTTGACCTAGATTTTGACCTAGGGATTTTGGTGTCCAAATTTTAAAGCTAGATAGCCTTCCAGGTCCCCTTCTTTTATAGACTTTCAGAATCTTAAGCTGTACTCAGTCCTTATCTGGTATTTTACACTTCAAAAAAATCTTTTTTCTCATTGACATAACATGGGGCACCAAAATTAGCGATTTTTGAGCTTTCAAAACGCCATAACTTCCCAACGAAAAGTCAGATTGAAATTTGGTTTGCAGATTCGGATTCCTGAGAAAATTCTACCCTTAACTCATAGCTCATATAATAAATTATGAGAAATTTTTATTTTGACCTACTTTTCGGACACCATATCTCAAAAGTGGGTCAAAATACTTTCTGACGGCAAAAGGCTAACACTATTAGTACACTCTTTGCTACCTGTATACAAAATTTTGAAGCAAATTATTTAAGTGTAGTGTCAGAATCGTAAAAATAAGGAAAAACTATGAATTTGACCTAGATTTTGACCTAGGCATTTTGGTGTCCAAATTTTGAAGCTAGGTAGCTTTTGAGGTCCCCTTCTTTTATAGGCATTCATTATGTTAAGCTGTGCTCAGTCTATATCTTGTATTTTACACTTCGAAAAAGTCTTTTTTCCCATTGGCTTAACATGGGCACCAAATTTAGCGATTTTTGAGATTTCAAAACGCAATAACTTCCGAACCGGAAGTCGGATCGAAATTTTGTTTGCAGATTCGGATTCCTGAGATAATTCTACACTTATATGATGATTCACACGTTGAATTTGGAGAACTTTTTATGTTCTGACCTACTTTTCGGACACCATATCTCAAAATCGGTAAGAGTAATCAAAAAACGGTTTACCATTCGTAATAAGCTTTTTCTAAGGAACATGATGAAAAAAACCCGGAGTGAAAATACCGAAGGACGACTGAGAAAACTTGTAAAATAGTGAAAAACCACGATTTGACCTAGTTCTTGACCTTTGACCTAGATAAAAAGTTGACCTAATTTCCCAGAAACTAGGCCTCATTACCTAGTTGACTGTGTTAGCAGATTTAAGTAAGTCCTTCTAGTTACCGAGAAAACGTGACAAGAGAGAAAGAATAATAATAATAAGAAAACCGGCAAAAGCAATAGACTCCAGATTTTCAATCTGGAGTCTAATAATAATAATAATAAGAAAACTGGCAAAAGCAATAGACTCCAGATTTTCAATCTGGAGTCTAATAATAATAATAATAACTAGACTTTGAAAATTGAACGAAGTTCAATTTCAGACTCCAGATCTAGACTTTTTTAAGCCCAGTCATCTAAAATAAAACAAGTCATCCAGAATAA